AAAAAACACATATACACAGGTATATATAATTATTAACTATATACATACAATATATATATAATATTATAATATATATGCATATAAATCTTTACGGTATATTTAATGAAAAAATTGCAAAAAATAAAATATATTTATATATAATGAGTGATATAACAGCGTCTATTAAATTCTTGTATTAATGTGCGCAATTAAAATTAAAATTATAATTTTTGTTCGTCTATCTAATTCTATAATCTATGGACATTGAACAGAAACGTCCTCTTCTCTCTAAAGGATTAATGAATCAGCATATTTAATTAAACATCTTTCACTGTAATATAACTTAATCAAATCTGTAAAAAATAAATAGTAATAGTTAAACATCTTAAAATTTTTTATTTTTGGTGTTTACCGAATATTAAAAAAAGATAAAATAATACATCATGCGCATAATGAATGAAACGGAACATAGCCTATATATACATGTGAACTGTGAATACAATGTGAAAAAAGACGTCGTGATTACATGATTAAGAAAGCCAATCAGATCTATCCCTTTATCTCTGTTTTCTATAACTCTAGTTACGACTAAAAAACTTTTACGTTGCCAGAAATAAAGTAATAATAAAAGTAACTAGTGAAATCGTTATCATACTCCAAAAATATAACTGCATGAACATTACTCCGAAGAAAATGTAACGTAATTACTTGTTCGTTACTGAAAAAAGTAACTTGTAATGGTAATGACGTTACTTACCAACCCTGATAATATTTTTATAACAAGAAAATAATAAGAAATTTGAATATCTCACTTGTTTACACATTTTTTAATTACTGATTTTAAAGTTTTGGACATTTGGAAGTTTATACTCTTCAGCAAGTACAAAATTTTCATCACAATTGAAAATAATTTTTTCATAATTAAGTATAATTAATTTTTTTAATTATTGTTTTTACAAACATTTTCGATTTCTACAAATACCTTACCTTATAAATTTTTATTCGCAGGCATCTATAAACAAACCATATTTCTAATTTGGAATTTTTAAATGTGAAATTTAACTGTTTCATAGATTACGAATTTAAAAAATACTCACTTCAGATCTTAGCTTCAGATTAAATTTAATTTAAAGCTGTTTAACTTCCTAAATTTTTGCGTTCAAGGTTGCTCTCTCTCTTAGTTAAAAACTATTTTATTTTATAGTTCTTTATCAACAATAATCTTTTTATAATCTTGAGAAATTTTGAATAATTTTAATCGCATAAATATATAAATAAAATTTAGATAAATTCAGTTTTATATTCATCTATAATTTCTACATCCAGTATTATATCGCAAGAGCAAAAAGATGAAATCCCTTATATTCTATGACTCTTAACAATAGTATCGATGATTTCATTACGTTATTGTTATGCAACTTTTTTTACTACATATTATATAATATCTGCGCAACAATATAGTGTTAACATTGTCGTTAAGAGCTATAAAATAGGAACACTATAAAGATTTTAAATTACATTGCTCCAAGAAAATAAATAAGACCATAAACACTTGTGCAATTCGCTGTGGAACTGATGTGTCATTCTAATACAGTTGCAGGTTTGCCGATCCCACTCTACTCCAAGAGTTTTTCAATTCGCTAAGCGATATATAAAAGTCTAGCCAATTTACACACTTTCGCATAGTGCAATTCTGTCGCGAGTGACGATAACGTTTGTCTCTTTTGAATATTGTGCTCAAATCTACGGCTCTGTCTTATGTTCTGTACGTATTAAATTTTCAACTGTCAGAAAAATCGCGACAACGTTACAATAAACGGAAATCAGTATTTCTTGAATTGGGAATCAGTTGACAACTTAGGGCGGAATCCATAAATGTTGCTCAAGACTCGAAATGTTCTTAAGCTAGTGCTTAAGACGTCACGAACCAATCACTTAACCGTATTAACATCTTAAGCCTTTACTTGAGACGGTCTTGAGATTAAGAACGGACTATGGATTCCGATCTTAGAATCACATGATAAACAGTTGACCAGTATTATCGGTAAGTATAATTTACAGGCTAAATTGATGGTTTCACAATTTATACGTTACAACAATAACGCCCGCCAGGTAGAATATGAAATTAAATCATAATAAGATCAAAATGACATCAAGAAAGTTATTTTGGTAAAAATCATAATAATATCATTTTCGATACACTTTTGATAAAAAATTTTTAATTTAATATGATAATGATTTGTAAATGACTTTTTTTTATAATAAAAGATCAATCAAAGTTCTTAAAATAAGAATGGTTTTTAATTAATTAAAAGAATTACATGTCGTCATTTCAAGAATTTTTCAAGTAAAACATAGATAATAATAATATTAAAAGGACATCATCATAATCTTATTTGTCATTTACAAATTCATTTTTAAGTATCAAATGACATCATGATAACGTTCTATGATATTATTATAAGCATGACCCTACAAAATTATCATCAAAAGTGTATCGAATGGTATCATTATGATTTTTTCTAAAATGACTTTCACTTGACGTAATTTTTATCTTATTATATGATTTTACGTTCTACTTGGTTGTAGGAATAAAATTCTAGATTCGCGAAACATTTCAGCTTTATATTCTCAGTACTAGAAATCACTCCAAGGTTTCGGAGCAATTAATTCTATCATTAAGAACACAAAGTTTTACGATTAATGTTAAACATGAGGATTATGTAGATATAGACGATTTCTTTTTATTTTTTATTTTTTAATGTTCAAGCTCACACATGCTCCATACATGATGCAATATTAAAAACTCCGATAATGTTTCCGAGTGTAAAGTATGACGGAACAAATCCTAAAAGTGATTATTCGTCGTAGAGATCATAGTGTCATGATGATAAATCAGCAGAAATATTACAGTATATCAAAGTAAATTGTAAACTTATCATAATGTCCTTCAAGCTTAGATTAGATATATATTTTATGTTCCAGTTTAATAAAATTAAAATTTCAAACACTCAAAAGTTATGGGACTATATTTAAAAGTATCAATATTTCATTTATATAAGTTGAAGAAAATTGCATAATATATAAATATAATAATTCTAAAAAACGACAAAAATAAGGTGTTAATATTCGGTATAAACAAGCAACGATTTATCAGTTGACAAATTTATTATAAAAAATTCATAATTAAACACGAAACGTTTCGACTGCTTACTGCAGTCCTCTTCAGTCTCAAATACATAAAGATATCAACATACATATAACAAATCAAATAATCTATTAGTTTTAACTTAGATGTTAAATGTTCTCTCTTAGTCAATTATTATAGGATAAAGGAAAGAAAATTGTCAAATAAAGCTGTTTCCGCATCGTGATTGTAAATTTCAGATGCCCATGTGCAACTTTCTTTCTTTAATAAAATTATTATATTATTACAACAGAGATACATTGTGTGTAAAAGACAGTTGTCAGAAGAATAAACAAAAAATACTACTAACTTAACAATAAAATTCAGTGTCAGTAACAGTAATTCAGTGTAACAGTAACAGTAGTAACAGTAGTTCAGTGTCAGTAATTTAGTCAAGGAATGGAAAGTTATCTTTTAAAAGTAACAACCCTGCAGATAGCAAAATGCTAGCAGTATAATAATTCTAATAACAAAAAAAAATAAATAATAATGAACTCTCGAAATTCAAACACTAAGAATTTAACAAAGAGCAAGTGAGCGTAAACAATAGTAATAACTGCGCGGTTAGAGGTGCGCTATCAGAATTAATTTAATATTAAAGACAAAATTATCTTTTTAACAAGAGTTTCTAGTCATCACATCTTGTGATGATTAGAAGTCAGTCGAAACGTTCGAAAACTTGTTAAAAAGATAATTTTTTCTTTAATATTAAATTAATTTTGATAGCGCACCTCTAAACCGCGCAGTTATTACTATTGTTTACTCTCACTTTGTTAAATTCTTAGAATTCTAATAATGTTTTGCAAACTGAAATTATGACAACTAAATTAAATGATAACACAATTAGAAATAAATTCATTCACGAAAACGAAAAATCAATATATATAATTAGGAAAACAAGTAATTATTTAAGAATCTTTACAAAATATACTGGATACATCTTTCCATATCAATAACTACAACAATTAGTAAATATTTGCATAAAAATAAATTCCCTAACGTATTTCTCATATAACAATCTAGCAACAGTCGCAAACAAAAAACAATAAATTTTCAATCAAGAGAGTATAAAAAACAACAAAAAAATAAGATATTATAAATTTCAGTATTTTATAAACAAGCAAAACAAAGTAAGCAGATCAAAGTAAGACAGTGTAAATTTTGACGATATTTCAATATATATATAATATTTAGAACTTATCAAAAATAAAAATATTTTCTTAATAAAAAAAAACTTTACATTTTTTTAAATATTGTTCCTCTTCCGAGAGAAACAATTTCTGATACGATTATCCAGTTTTACAACGGAATAATCTGCAACCGTTCGAAACTCTACCTCTGAGGATTTTATTCTATAACATCATTTTGTAATGTTAATTGACGTTGCGGGTATTTTGCACAATAAAAAAGCTGCGCAAAAACAATATGTGCATACGATATCTCGACCCCGAAAAATTCTCAGTTTCGCGTAAAGGAGGCACGGCAGTGTCGCGCGCTTGGCTTAGCGCCGAGACACTACCGTGTCTCCAGATATCATTATAGTCGTTAAAAGTTGCAGAATACATCCTAAAAGTTTCATCTTAAAATCTCATTGTAGACGGCGCATAGCGTGCGTTTCATCTTCTGTACGAGTACGTGAAGTTGACGAGGGCGATCAAAGCGAGCAGTAATTGGCGAGACACATGCGATGGGACTCAGTTTGACTCAAGTTTCGCGCTAAGCGTACGTAAGCGTCACGTGACTGTAATACTGACCAATCATACGGAGCAGTTGGACCGAGGTAATCAGGCGGATCGAAACGAACGGAGAGACCGAGAATATAGATAAAGAACGGCAGAGAGAGTCTCTTCGATTTTCCGTTAGGTGTCGCGTGCGTTGCTTTGTTTCGTCAGCTTCGCCTGCTCGTTCGCTTTCGCTTCGGGCCGGTCCGATCCGGAGACCCGACAGACCACCCGACCTGCGATCATTACACGGTGTGCCGTATGTCTGTGTGGAGCTTGCGCTCTCTCACGATTCGATCTACCGTTCCTCTCGTGCAAGTCGTACACGCTGTCGCTCGCTCTCGAAAGTAGTTACAGGTATAGGCTGTTGTAAGAAACGCGGCACACACGATTGGACTACACCGACCGACCACGCGGACGGTAACTCTGAGTGGAGAGCGTGTAAACGCGGAGAGAAAACTACGACGGAGAGAAAAAGGCACGTGGTGAGTTTTCGCCCGCAGTGCAGACGGCCATTTACGATAAGAAGACTCAACTGTGTGAGCGCTTCACTCAGAACGAATCTAAGTAACGAACATCAGCTACGAGGCGACGCGGCAACTACGGTGGCAACAACCCCAAAACGCAGAAAGATGCCGGAGACCGTACACCATATGAACGGCTACGCGAATGGCCATGCGCCGCCTGAGCTGCAACAGGATACCGCATTTCTGTTCACCTCGGAGTCTGTCGGCGAGGGACATCCAGGTGAGTGATACATCCGGGGATCGCCTCGCTTATGCAAGGTGGTGAGACGGACGGCTTTTGCCCAAGTAAAACTGCTCGAAAAAAACAAAAAAAAAAAAGCTTTCCTCTCTCCATATTTTTCTTCTCTCCCTCCCCCACCTCGTTCTGCGCCTCCCTGTACATTGCGATTCCCACCCTCTTACCAGCATGGCTGCGTTCAGAATCATTCAAATGCACCCGGATGAAATTTTATCCTTGTTCAACATCCAGTAAACGACGAGAATGAAACGTAATTTGGGTGCGCTGGAACACGACGATTCTGAACGAGGTTCAATACCATCATTCCGTTTTGTGTATGTACGCGCCGCCATGGAATAGAATCGATTCCCGAAAGGATTATGCCGCTCTTTTTCCTCTACCTCTTCATTTTCTCCCCTCGGAACATAGATCCAGATCAACGCCAATCGCAGCTTTTTTTAATCACGTTGTTCATTGAAAATAGCCACGTTCTAGAAAAGAAAGTACATTCGATCGCCGAGTGAATGGAGCTCGTGTTCTTGCTTTTCCCTAATTTCGGCGGGAAGCTCTCGCATTTTTCATTCTCATTCGACATATAGTGTGTCTTCCAATAAGCGACACCGATACAACACAGTGATCATCTCATCTTTAACATTGGTGAACAGCAAGGATGTACTGTGTGACACCGTGTCATCTGTGTCGCTTGTTGGAAGGCACCCAATTAACCTGGCCGTCCGCATTGCCGCCGCCATGTGCTCGTGCCGATCACAATGTACTTTTAATGGTTTTTAGTTGAACTCTTTCTGCACAGTACTTTTCATTTTTTTTTTTGTTTGTTTTCTTATAGAGAAAAAAACGATTGACCAGCCAAATGTTCAACAAAAAGAACACCTATGGTTGACAGAGGATGAACAATATAATGCGCTAAGTTATATTAGAAATCCTATAACAGCCTGAACCACATGGAATCTTAAAATTTACCCTCTGAAAATATAGCAGTTGTGGTACAATACAATATTTTGAAGATTTTTACCACACACCTCAATAAAATTAATCAAACATATTTTATATTTTATTGTAATTTTATTAGTGAATGTGGGAGATTTATTATACTTAATTCTCTCTCTTTGAAATACAATGTTGTTTCACGACTACCATTATTTTCAGGGTAAAGTCTAAGAAAAAATTCTCTTTGTGCACGATTTTATCAAAATCTTACAAGAGAGAAAGATATATATTTATTTTTCTTATATATATATTATATCATTTTAACTCATATCGTTTTAATTTATAACTTTAATTTAGATCATACATATAGTATAATATCCAGCGATAAGTAATGTCCAGCAATACTTAATTATCCTTAAACTATAATTTGTATTCTGGAAAATTCCTAGAAAGCTCCTGAAATTGTTCACAACTGTCTTGGAATTTATCATTCTTTCATTGTAAAAAAAATTAAATGCAAAGAAAAAGAGATAATAAAAGGAAATATTGCTAATAGAAAACTTGTATTTAAAAGTCTAAAATAGAACATAGTAAAAAAAAGTCGTTTGTATCAACAGAATGTTTGATATTATTTATAAAGCAATGAATATTGTTAGCGTTTTAACTCATTCTTTATGTAGAATCCTAACTTAAATGCAAGTATATATTATAATATTGCACAAATTGATAAAAATTTAACAATAAGAATTCATCGATGGATAAATCTTAGAAAAATCGAGATTTTTACCTATTCTGAAATTATGCTTGAATAACAAGTCAGATTTTGTTAGGCATTATGTATAAGAATGAGATTCTCTTACAACTGCTAACTTATCCGCCTCTAATTTCTGTTTTATTACTGTTTTATTAACAACTTGTAAAAAGTTCATTATAGTTACAAAAACTTACAACGATTTTTATTCAGTTGTAGAATGAACCTCTTTAGGTTATAGCTCACAAAAACTTAAGGAATAAATTAATCAATATTTTAAATTTTTTTGTTAACAGCTTACGTTATTGCCTTATAATCTTTACTCGATTAGTCAATTTTCTTACTTAACATTTTACTATTCATTTTGTATAATAGTCTTAATTGTTTTATTAGTAATTTGTTTTCTATTTCTGCACTAAACTCTCTCGCTTTCGGCAAATATCAAATATATATCTTTCTCACTTTAAGTTCCAAAAGTGTACACTATTTCAGCCATAGAAAGCCAATCTTTGAAAGCATTGCAGCTGAACCTTCTATTGTTTCTCCAAAAAAATAATTACATATTCATTTCATCTCTATTGCAGAAAGCACAATAGCATATCGTTACATAGCAAGATCTTGTGTAGAAATTTGCAGTAATACTACTGCAACGTTTGAAATATTACTGCAAATTACTGGAATATTGCAGTGTTGTGTTGTAATATTACTGGAATAATCCACGCTGTACGAGATATCTCTGGTGTCTAAAAAAAACTTTCAAGTCGAGTTTGCAATCAAAATGTAGTTTGTTCCATGTTTTTTAACATATTTGATGAAATTATTAAAAAATACAGTTCAATCGATATTAATTATCTTTGTATTATATTAACATGAATTAACATTAACATATAGGCTAATCAAGATTCTCTGTCATGTAGATAGAACTGCAAAAAAGAAACAATTAGGTTAGAAATTGCCAAGTCTGGTACACCGATCTACGAAGTTGCTTTATTATTACTTCCTTGTTGCTTCATTGTTACTTCGTTATTACTTTGAATTCACTTTCTACGAATACAGCCATGTATGAGCAATCGTTTTCGTCATGCGCAAACAAGAGTTCGTCATTTTCTACAGAATTTCTATTTACGATATAAATAATCTGGTTTTAAGGATACTCAAATGTTTGTTAATGTTTCTTCTTTCGGGATCGATTAACTTTGATCAATCAGTTAATATATTGTCTAAATTTGTTTTCAAGTATAAAAATAGTCAACATAAAATAGAACTTAATTTGTACCTATTGTATTTTGTCCTTGGGAAGAAAGGAAAAAAAAGAGTGAGAAAGAGAGACAGAGAGACAAAACTATGATTAAGCAACATAGAAATACAGGCCCTCCTATGACTGTTTATATTTTTTTATTCTTTATTTTGATCTCCCATGCCTTAACCATGTTCGAGAACTGCCCGTGCGAAACCGACGTTTGAATTCACAACACTCAGTCTTGATAAATAACCATAACAATAATTTTATTTATACTATTGGTTATATATTAATAAAAAGCGAATATAAAAAGTATAAAATATTAGGTATATATTGATACAAATAATTGATATAAAATTACTGTTGTTCTTATCTGAAATAAATGCAAAATTACAGCATAAAGTAAACAGGAATTATTTAATCGTTTTAAATTCTTGCTGATAAATTGATATTAATCATATTGTATAAAATATTCTTTACATGCAAACGCAAACACTACTTTTACGAGAACTAAAAATGTGAGCTCCTCTATATTCGTCAAATATGTTTTTGTCTAAATAGTCTTTTAAGACTAATATATTCTAATCTTTATGATAACAATCATTAATATTAAGCAATGTTGCATTAAACATCTATTAGATATAGTTCAAGGTTAAAAAATAAAAATCATTTTATATATCAAATAAAATATTATAATTATATGTAAAAATATCTTATATATGTATAATTGTATACAAAGTATCTTTATTGTAAATATACATATATACTTTTTTTTATTATATAAAAATAATGCCTATACAAGCCAGCACCAGCTGTTGATGTGAATTTCAATCATTTGCTCAAAAAAATACATAAATATAAACGTTTAGATCCTATGATTTTGGTCCTCTTCAATATATTATCGCAAGATTTCTTAAAAAATATAAAAATTAAATTTGAAAAATATACACTGGCGGTTAAAAATCTTTGAACACCATGCATATTTATGGTAAAAGAATAAAAATGTTTAAGACAAACATGGATATTCGATCAAAACCAAAGAAAACATATTTATTTATAAAGTATGAACAAAATAAAGCATTATTATTTGACCTTTACGAACCCTTGGGAAAAAGCATTTAGTTGACAACAGTGATTTCAATTTCCATTCCGCTTGGTGCTGTATCTTCGTCCGTGTATTTGCAAATATTTCTCTGCTATGTTTCTTTTGTATCATCATAACGTGAAAACAATTGTAGAAAGTTAGAAGCCTCTTGCAAGCAATTAGAGCCAATTATTTTACAAAATCTAATCAACAGGATGCCTAAATTAATTTAAAAATGTGTTAAGAGCTAAAGGTAGCTTTTTTGATGAAAAAAAGGTTTGACTTTTTCTGTCGTAAGGGTCTCAAATGATAATGTTTTGTTTCTTATATGTACTTTATAAATAAATATAATATTTTCTTTGGTTTGACCGAATATTCATGTTTATTTTAAACGTTTTTATCCTTATACTGTAAGTATGCATGGTGTCCAAAGATTTTTGACCGGCAGTGTATATCCTATGATTACATTTGTCAATGTAGTTGCCAAGAAAATTGTCAATGCTTTACGCTCGTCCACTCACTACCAGCTTGTGCATCAAAATGTCCGTTTTGCTACATAAGTTAATTATAAAACACATTTTATTATTTTAATGAAGTTAAGAAGTCTAAATGTAAAAAAAAAGAGGAAAATTTTTGTAACTTACATGCGAAGAAATAATATTTCGAAAGAACCAACAAACATCAATAAATTATTAAATTGTCCGATTTACTATTTAAAACAAAAATAATAATTGTCAAGTTATAAAATTAATCGAAAAAATGATTAACTATTTAATATATTAAATTAAAATAATTGCAACTTACAAAATTCGTTAGAAAAAAGTATAAACGATTGATGGTTCAAAAAATAGGTACGTAATGAAAATTTTTAACAAACAAGTGTCGAGTCAAAGATAAATCGCATTACAAAGAGAAGGAAACACTATGTTTTTGTAAATAAATTATACAACGGTCTAACGATAATGTATCATTTTGCAAATTTAAACCTCCTTTCTGCTTTTTAATGTGCATTATCTCAGATAACAGTTTTATTAAAAAATGTTTCTTGGTCCAAGTTTTTTTTTTATTAACAGGATAGGTAAATAATTTTATAAATAAATTCAGAACATACTTAAAAATATCTTAGATATTTGTAAGATATTAATGAAACACGAAAATGTTTAACTCAGAAATTAAAGATAAACAAATATTTATATGAATTTTTTGTTATATATATACTTTTATGTCTTAAATTTATTTCTAAAGCTATGTCCACATGTTATAAAACAATTTTTTTATTACGTCCTATATAATAAAAATAAATTGTTTTACATTTTTATAATGGTATATGTTAATATGCTGCTCATTGCTTTTTAACACAAATATCTTTTCTTTTGAGACTCTTCTATATATTTTTCCCTTTCTGTACTTTTCCAACAGAAATTTTCAAAATGACTGTTATTTATCTTGAGGTCTTTACGATCTGCTATGCTAGTAGTCGATATTCCTTTCTTCTTTCCTTATCACGTTTTCTATTTATATTTCTTTCCAACATTCGCTTTTAAATGGTTTTTCAATGTCATTGTTAATTATACTATAGGTACCGTACGATTTTAAAACGTAATTTTTTTACTATCCTTTTTGAATATGAGAAACAAAGAAATCAAACAGAACGACTTCTATAACTGACGTAAAAATAGTTGACAAAATCTTTTAACTCGATAAAAAGTAATCTCGTAAAACGTTAATAAAAAAATATCTTACAATTAGTCTGTCAAATCAACAGAAATTTAGCGTTTTGTAGAGCTGCTTTATCGAAATTCTTTCTAAATATATATATTTGTAATAAGGCTCAATAAATTTAAAAATAATTAAGAAACAGAGCTACAAGCCAAAAATTCGTTAATATATAAAAATGTTAGTAAATAAAGAGTGTCATTAGTTAAAAATATATAATGTTCTTGATATTTTAATAAAATTGCATTTCAACAGTGTACGTATAATATTTTGATTTTAAATGTTTTAATTTATTTTTCAAGATCTTTCAAAAACAGTCATAATTTTTGTATCTTTTAACTACACATCGACTATTTTTAACTTAATTATCTTGAAAAATGCTTTTTTTTTTTGCAATTTACTCATGTTGCTAATTATTTTCGCAGATTGTTAATGACTTATTTTTTTTTTACATCATGGCTCTAATTATATCAAAGATAAAGAAAATTCACGAGTCATGTGAACACTTTAGGTAAACTCTCTCTCCTCTAATCTTGAATTAACAATTCATCGCTTTTCATATATAATACAGACAGAAGAAAAATAAATCATTATTCCTTTAAATAATATATTTTTTTTTTTTTGTTTATTACATTCATGTAATAAACAGTTTTTTAAATAAGATTTTAATTATTATTTAGATATTAATTTTCTAATTATTTTATTTAATAATTTTTATCTGAATTAGTAGATTGATATATCTTATCTTTTTTCTCAGATAAAATGTGCGATCAAATAAGCGACGCCATTTTGGATGCGCACCTAAAACAAGATCCCGACGCTAAAGTAGCATGCGGTAAGTTTCGCCAAGACAGTGTTGATTTCTTCAAGCAATTGAATATGTATGGTATCTATTTATAAATTAGTTTGTTCGGCCCCGAACTAGTTTTAGGTTGAAACTTTTGACTTTTAACTCTGTTACTTTCAATATATTTAAAAAAATTCTTTTCTCTCTTTCAAATGCTAATTTTAATAATAATATATATTGAAATATATATTATTATTAAAATTAGCATTTAAAAGAGAGAAAAGAATTTTTTTAAATATATTTGGAGGGACTACGTATATAGTTAATTATTAATTTATTTTAATTCGTGAGATATAGTACCGCGGTAGTTTATTTATATGTAAGCCATTAAAAAATCCAAGCTAGACTGTTATAGGCTTTGTATTTGTATTAGTTATGTTCTTACATTAACGGCCTTTAGTATCAAATATTGTATTTAAATATAGTTCCCTTATACATATATATATATATATCTTATATATACCTTATATATGTATATATAAAAACACTTTTTAACATTTTTTAAGTATAATTATTGTTCTGCATTAAATATATAATTTTGTTGTATAACTATTATATTACACTGTATGTACAATTATCAAGATTTTTATTTATTACAGAAACTGTTACAAAAACTGGAATGATATTATTATGCGGAGAAATTACATCAAAGGCTGTAGTTGATTATCAGAAGATCGTTCGTGATACTGTAAAACACATCGGTTATGATGATTCTTCAAAAGGTACAACATCAAGTCGGAGCAATATTTGCATTCTATCCGCCCTTAATTTTAGTAATGCACGTCGCTCACTTTTTCTGATTGTTTTTGACACTTTGTTGGATGTCAATTGTATGTTTGCGTGAGATAAAGTGAAATCTTTACATTCCCGACGAAACAACAAATCATTACTCATGTAACACATGCATGCTATGTGGCTGAATAAATAGCCAGCTCCCTCGTCCACATAAAATCCGCCTCGTACGATTCTTTTTCGAATCGTTATAACAACACGATCGAATCATGGCACAAAAGATTCAAGTTCCAGACATTTATAATTTTTGTTTCTTTAATACTGAAATATTAAGACGAATATAAGGATTCTTTGTGTATACACATGTTTAACTTGAATCCTCCATGCCTTAATCGATCAAATCAGTATTCTGTTCATTATCTTTTGGACCAAGAAAACGATCATGCAAGGAGATTAGTAGAGACTGTGTAACGCAAGCATATCGTGACAGGATTCGATTGGCGTACGTTGAACCTTTTGGTGGCGATCGAACAACAATCCCCAAATATCGCGGATGGTGTCCATACGGACAGGCAAGAGACGGACGTGGGTGCAGGTGATCAGGTACATAACTCATTCTCAGCCCATGCCACAGAACAGCCAAAAATAATTCAATATCAACGATACCCTATGTTCTTTTGTCTCTTATTCTCCCTTTTCCTCTACCTTCCTTGAAATGGTCTCAAAGTCTGTTTTCCTATTCTGTGTGTCACAAGCGTGTGTTACATCTACGCATGTCTGCGTGCGTTCCGCATAGTGATAATGCAAGCACCCATATAAGTATTTGTAAGCACTGTTGTTGTAAGATAATATTATAACATATTTTTATGAAAAATTCTTCGCTATGTTACGTCAATCGTGCAGGAAATTTCTAATTTGTCAGATATCTATACATATATATATATATACATATATATATATACACATCTCAAAGATGCATTACAAAATACTGGAATATGATTCCAACAAAGTGCCGATATCACTTATCATGTTTATAGGACGTAAGGCTGCATGTAATATGTTCAGATACAAGCATACATGTAACATTATTCATTATGTATAATAAGTTTATTGTCTAATCTATAGATAAATATAACATGTATACTAGATAAAAGAATTGATATTTCAAAGAATTGAATTTTATTCGATATTTTGAGAAGTTTATCTGAATTCGTACATTCAGCCATCGTATTGGTTTTAATCAAGTCAGGATTATTGGAAGTATTGTAATGAAAGCCCCAAAATGGTGGAATCTCGTGTAAGAAGAATGTCGAAATAACTGCATAAAACAGCAGTGAATATCTTTATCTTACCAGATTAATTTCTGCAGGTTTTGACTACAAGCTGTGCAATGTTCTGTTGGCGCTCGACGCTCAGTCACCTAATATTGCGGCGGGCGTTCATGAAAACCGTAGCGACGAGGAAGTAGGAGCAGGAGATCAGGTCAATTGGCATTTCCATCGTTGAATTTTTATTTTCTCTCTTTGTTTCTTGTTTTCTTCTCTTTGACCGTTTGCCTCCTGCGCTACTAAGTACATTCTTTACTATAGCAGTTGTAACATTTGTCACTTCTTCTTTATTTTACTTGTATCCCACTAGCCTGTTTCTTAGTTCATCACTATAGAGGTGAAAGTGGTATTTGGTTTATGTTATCTTTCTCATTCTTGCATTATCACAGTAGTTTAAATGCATTACTATATGGTTGATTCTATTGTGAATTCTGTAGCTGGATCTAGTATATAGGAAGTGCCGAAATTGATTGAGTGTATAGAACACAGTTTGTGTATGAAAGTTTATATAGATTTAAAAACATTTGTGTTTTACACTACTATAGATTCATATATAATGTCTTCATAAAATAATCATTCTTTATTATATGATTCTATCTTGTTGAAAATTTATTGTTAAATAATAATTTATTGTTAAATAATTTAAATTAAATAAAATTGATTGGGGGAGGGGGCTAAAATCATAATCCTTATTGAATTTATTAAATTATGTAATTAAATTAGTTGATTGTGTTATTAATAGTGTGAGATATAAATACCTTGTAAATAGTTTTTTACTATAATTATTAATGATAATATCCCTTCTATCACGTATTTACATGTTCTGTTCTGTGTGTGGCACTTTTTACTGTATTAGTTTTTATTGCTTTATTACTTGCTTTTTTATAGTATCACATATGTATTAATATTATATAATAATTTACTCTTCACAAAAGCTTTTCTATCTTTATTTAAATTTTCTTTTATTTTACGCGCGCGCTTACACACACACACACACACACACACACATACACAAATATAATATTAACTTTTATATGACGGTACATAATTTCAAATAACTGTCTATATATTCAAAGTTATATGTACAATATTTTATGCTTGTGAAGCTTATATATCTCATAAATTTTAGCTGGAATAACTGAAATTCTTCCACCAGGGTCTAATGTTTGGATACGCAACTGATGAAACAGATGAATGTATGCCACTGACGGTCGTGTTGGCGCATAAATTGAATCAGAAAATCGCCGAACTAAGACGAAGCGGCGAATTATGGTGGGCTCGTCCAGATTCAAAAACACAGGTTTGATTTTTATTTATCTTAATTTGCAAAACAGAATTCAAGTTGGATAAAATTAACAAAAATATTTACCGGAATTAAAAAAAAATTTTAAGAGATTTTCAATCTATAATTATTTGCGATACTTTTCATGTTTAGAGATCTATTTATATAATTAGAATTAAAAAAATAAAGTTTATAAACAATGATGATTATTCGCTGATGATTTTATAGTATTTGCTACTCTTGAGTGCCATGATGTTGAAATTTAAACTGAGAATAATCCATTAAATATATTTTTACAATACATTAATAATTTAAAAATTAATGTACAATTGTATGTAAAACGTATTTATACGATAGGTAACCTGTGAATACATCATGGACCACGGAACCTGCGTACCTATGAGAGTCCATACTGTTGTCGTATCACTGCAACATAGTGAAAAAATTAGTCTAGATGAACTGCGTAAAGCAGTCATGGAGAAAGTCATCAAAGAAGTAATACCAGCAAGATACTTAGATGAAAGAACAGTCTTCCATGTGAATCCTTGCGGGCTTTTCATTATCGGCGGACCACAGGTACCATTAAAGTCTTGAAAAATAAAGTTTATAAACAGTGATGATTATTCGATGATGTATTTTGTACATTGCTACTTTTGTAGCAATTAAATTTGTAGCGTTTGAATGTCATGATATTAAAACTTAAACTGACAATAATCCTTCAAATATAATTTTTACAATACAATAAAGAAATTCCGTCTAAATCAAACAGTAATAAGATGTTTTCGTAAAACATATTTCAAGTTTACAATGTTAGCACAGCATAAAAATAAAAATATATAAAGAATATAATATAAAAAAGAAATATAAAAAAATAATATAATGATATTGAACGTTTCGGTATTCACAGGTAGGCTTCAGCGATTCTTGAAAACCTTTAAACATTATGGCATCTTTCCCTTAAACATATAACAATTGTAATTGACATAATACAAAAATTGATAATAGACAATAATGAACAATTTACATTTAAATCACTCTTATCCTGTTTTTACCTCTTAATTAGTTTTATATTATATTGACGACATTGAATTTTTCACTTTAGACATAATTCACATAATAACAGGAGAATCAATTTTTCGAAACAGTTGTATCATACTATGTCGCTTAGACCATAAAATTATTCATCTCTATGATTTTGTAACATCTTCAAGAATCGTTGAAGAAGGACCTGTGAGTACTGAAATGTTCGATATTATTATATTATTTTTTATATATTTTTTTTATTTTGGGAGTACAAATTAGTTCGGTCCATTTTTTGGGTTCAAAAATACATTTATTTCAAAACAAAATGAATGAACAGATAGCAGCAAGGAAGCGAAAATTACGACATATTCATGACGTCATATTTGCGGCTAGAATATTTTGAAGCGTCCGATTGACCGCACTTGAAACGTTTCAAAACATTTGTAGTGAAACTTTAACCACATCCTATGTCTTAAACTATTATATGACAATATTATACAAATATTAATTAATCTTAAGTAAAAATGTACATTATGTTTTATTAGTTGTGTTCTCTCTTTCTGGTATACTCTTATTACAAATTCTAGAGTGACGCCGGTCTTACTGGTCGAAAGATCATTGTAGACACGTATGGCGGTTGGGGAGCGCATGGTGGTGGTGCATTTTCTGGTAAAGATTTTACAAAAGTGGATAGATCAGCTGCGTATGCCGCAAGATGGGTTGCTAAATCGTTAGTCAAGGCCGGTCTTTGCAGACGTTGTCTTGTACAGGTAAAATCTATACAAGCATTAAGATATTTTTGTGTTAAAATAAATTAAATAATTTTTGTAACTTTTGTAAAATTCTATAACTTTGTATTATATAAAAAATTTGCGATTGTTTATGTTAGGTTTCCTATGCCATTGGCGTGGCAGAACCATTGTCCATCACAGTTTTCGACTATGGTACATCCACGCGTTCGCAAAACGAGCTCTTAGACATAGTGCACAAGAATTTCGATTTGCGACCCGGAAAAATTGTCAAGTATGTACAATTAATTTATTTTGATACTTATATTACACAAACTATAATATTAAAATAAATATTATTTTACTCATATTATTTTAAACAATAATTGTACAATTCACTAATAACAATTAGTGAGAATTAAATTAATTAAGAAAATTAATCGATTATATTATCTTCTTTATAGAGAGCTGAACCTTCGCAATCCTATTTATCAACAAACCAGTACATACGGTCACTTTGGACGAGACGGTTTCACATGGGAGCAACCGAAAAAGCTAATTTTCGATTGATGAGAGGATGGATTTTAAATTGTTTCGGCGTTTCTTGGTTTTAGATACTTGATAGAACATCTCTGTTTCTCATTCTCTAATACTATCTCCCTCTCTATCTTTTTCTCGGAGAAAAAACCATGTTATTTCATGTTAAAAGAAAATTTCGTCCGCGATATACTTCGATCTCCGTGCCGCAGACATCATCGAGGCCACCGATTACGCTACTTAATAATGAAAAGGACTAGGCATGGACAATTCTCTTTCTAGTTCTTTTTGCCATGGAATTCCGCATTATATATGTAATGACAGGCATATAGTACAAATATTGTTTATAATCCAATATATTATATCCAATTTAATCCATAACATCGCATTATGAAAAAAGCATTACAAAAAGAGCAAACTGAGCGTATATTATAAATGCATTTTCATGTTTAGATGTTTAAGAACTTCTTAAGGGGGGAATCCTATTATTTTTGCTAAAAATATGACAAAATTGGTAATTTTTTTTTAAAGAAATTAGCAATTTGATTCGTGTAAAATGTATACCATATTTGAACATCTTACAGTTTTTTTTATTAAATTTTAATGATAAACGTAAAAATTATTAACAATCGAATATCACGCTGTGCAAAATTTCCAGTGGCGTGCACAATATTAATCTTCCAAGTAATCTGAAACAGAAAAATCGAACGGCGTTTTACTTTATACATGTAGCTTCCGTTAAACAAGGTTTAAAAAAAATTTTTACGGAAATGATGAGTTTTCAAATCAGAACTATAATTTTTACTATCAAAATTCGCCCATTTTTTTATGTGATAAAAAAGTGTAACTTATTAATATTCTGATTTATCAAAAGATAAAGTAATGTTTGCTGAACATGTATACCAAGTTTGAAGGTAATCGGTTCAGTGATTATAAAAATATTATGCACACCACTCGTAAAAATACTATTCTGAGAAAACAGCATTTAAAGTTTAGTTTATATAAGTATATCAAGTACTTTCTCTTACATCGATTTCTGGTATTCTACTATCTCAGGACCATATAATAATCCTTCCTCATCTTCATAAAAATGATTTTGAACTATCTGCTCGTTTTTTCATTTTACTTGAGTCTCATTTTACGTAGCCTCAAGGTTACGTTTGTCGCGTAGGTCTTTCAAGGCGATGTTGATCTCGCGCGTTGCAAAATATTTTAGCGTTTCCTCCTATAATAATTTCTTCATTGTCATAGTTTTAAGGACAGCATAAAAATCTTTATTAAAAATTTCGGCTGTTAAGTAAGCCGCGATATATATTTCAATTATTTTTGCTCCACAATGAAGATATTTAGGCGCGAATTGTCAGACTGTAAAGTTAAAACTCATTATTTTTTGTATTTTATCACCCAAACATATTTCTAATAATTCTCTTGATAATAAAATTAGCTTAATGGCTTACTGAACATTTTCTTGAAGTGGCGATTGAATTCATCAAGAACATTATCACTTTCGGCAACTCGCAATTTACATCAACTATCTGGTCTCACTAGACAGTACATATGCTGCGGCTTTTTTTATTTATCGAGATTTTATGATAGTGTAGATGGTACGTCAGTTTCACTTGGAGATTAAATGACTACTGAGAATTTCACTGTTGAGAATAGCACAATTGTCCCTAAACTAATCTGACCTGACCCTTGTGCTAAGAACAAAACCGGAGTAACTGTCGATCATATAAAATCTTATACACTCAATCAGGTACTCGGTTGGTTAAGAGCTCATAACTCTGGAAGTTACACGAATTTCGATACAAAATTCTATGGAAATACTTTTAAGATTTTAAACTAAAGGATTCCATAAAGAAAAATCGATTTTTGACCCGAAAAATGAGATTCCCCCCTTAAACTAATGTGAGTAATTCACAAAGAGAAATATCCTCCGATTTTGATGAGTTTTAATATGTGTAGTCCAGACCAAAATAAGAGACATGTGTTTTTTTTATACACGCTTATATTCACTTTTAGGGCCAATTTCACCAACGTCGGTTAAGCTAACCGACGATTAAAGTGTCAACCGTGATTGGTTCATTCTGGTCAAAGACAAATGCGATTGGATAATTCCATTGGAATTAACCGTCGGTTAGCTTAACTGACGTTGGTAAAATTGGCCCTTAGTGGAACATTTCACAAAAATCGATCAGTTTCTTTGAAAATGAATATTGTTAAAACATAAAAATGTTTTTGCTATTATAAAATACTTCAAATCATTTAACTTGTATTTAAAAAAATTGTTTTATCTCTAGAGCCGATATTTTACATCAAAGTGTTTTGTCCTCTAAAAGTGCATATGGGCACGTATAAAAAAACGTGTTGTTCATTTTGATCTAGACTATAACTTATTAAAAAAGCTCTTTAAAATTAATAATGTATTAATGAAGAAGAAATACTTTTCTGTGTTTTCTTGTCAGTTTGATAACAGCAAATTACTTGCTGATGTTATATATTTACTTACAAGTAAGAAGATAAGAAATTTGTAGTAGATCAAATTTTCATCTTAAAGAAATGTATAAAGAAACGTATAACGGTACGTATTTTCAGATTCAGGAAACAGGTCTTAATAGATTTTTAGCTGTATTAATCTCTCGCATGTACATGAAAGTTCGATACTCTGACTTGATCAGTTAATGTCTATTTTTACTAGTGTAGGTTAAAATTAATTTACATTAGTAAAAATGAACATAAACGAGCTAATTTTTTAATCAGACTGCATGAATTACACACCGCTGATTTACATAAAGTATTTTATTTCATTAATGACACTATCAAATTTCCGATCGATCTTTCGTGTACGTATCATTAGAATTATTAATCGTTAAGGAAAAAGAATTGTATATTGACAAATGTAAACTTCGTTGTATGTGTAGCAAAGAAGGAAATGACGTTTGCACGTCATGAACACGTTCGTGTCACGTTCATGAATTTTATGAAAGATAAATATGAGATATAATATCGAATCAAATACATTATTAATTAATTAGAATCATTAAATATCTTAAAGTATTTAAAAATCATCAAATTAGAGTCTGCAGTTTCATAATAAAAGTAGATTTCACATCATTTTATAGTATAGAAGTACACATAAATATTCGTAACTATGCAATTTATTTAATAGCTCCATGGAATGTACGGTCATTTCCCCCTTTGCTATTGTTTTAATTAAATAGAACAATTGCAGCAGATATTATATAAAAAGATGCGAAATTTTGAAAATTTAATCCCGATATAGATTCAGCACAGACCGTGTAACGGAGCTCGAAACTGTAGTAGAATTTTTCATTGTTCTTTGATATATTATCCAACGTTATCGGATTTTAAAACAAAAATTAAGAAACCATTGTCAAAAAAATTAGTTACCTTCCGGCAGAATTGATGTTTGTGATTTGTAAAAACGATGTCGGCAATATGTAATAGTGCACAAAATCATAAAAAAAAGAAACACATAATAAAACAGATTTTTTAATAAAAGAAAAGAACATTTCCTGTCGTTTTATATGTATTACCGCACCATTACATAAGTAAACATAATCCTCAATTCCTAGAATTTACGCAACGCATAAGTTGCACTTAATGGATCAATATTGCATTTTTGTGAATATTTTCCCCGACAAATGACATGACTCTCTCTGATAACACACAAGCGTCGTTCTATCTTTCTTGACACAGAGAGTGACAAAGATAGAACGATACCTGTGTCGACTTTTGTCATCAGATGAACACCCACAATTCGCGAATGTAACGAGTAATTTTTATATGCATTTACACTATCACTCTGCAGTATTCGACGATATAAAAAAACGTATAACATGTAATCCGTATAACCAAATGGCTTTTATTTTCCATCTTTTATCACGTATTTTGTTACATATATTAAGTGACGTGGTCAGTCATTTTTGGCGAATATTTAAAGGGAGATTCTGAGACGTTCATACTCGGAGGGCGAGCGCACAGGCGAGCGTGCGATACTTATTTTCTGTAATAATTTAGTTACTTTTCAGTTATTTTTAACACGATTCTAAGTTCGGATTTTACCGACGATTAGCGACCATAGCCAGTGGCTGCACTATACTTGTGTATTTTTGCCGCCTCACCCGCCAGCAAAAGAGAGAAGATTCCGTATCGCAAGACGGAGGATAACGATTCGTGGAGGCCTTGGCTTGTGGCGTCATTAGGAATGTACACGCAGGTTGTATTATTCTGTATCTTTTACTAATGTTACTCTGTCATTTAGTGGTTATCGCACCTTTATTGTAGACGCCTCGGAGAGAGACGTAACATGGGAATGGATTTGCCCTGACCGGACGTCAGCCGAAGTCCCGAGCTCCATGGAGATTGTGGAAAAGCTGCCGGTCGATCGCCAGGAAATTTTTCGCCCATTTGGAAATGCCCGCCCACATAGAGCAAGGATACGCGTCGACACGACAGGACCCGCGTGATTTGTCGCGGGATCGCGACAGCTAATTAAAGCCGGAAGCAGCTCCGATAAGAAGAGGACCTAACGGCCCTTGCATGGATCCGCGGAAGCTTCCAACTTCCAATTTCCGTGTCCGGCCTTCTGATCGGCACTTGTTGGTGACCGAGCACCTTGTGAGAAGGACGTAGGATCTCCTGACAGGATTTTGGAACGATTGAGGATCTGACGAGAACCCATCGAGTCGTTTAGAGCGGAGAGGAAGTACCGGATAGGTTGTCGTGGTGAAGCGAGCGTCATCATTTAATTATAATTGTAAAAACCACCGATCGCGATATTTTATGTGTGCGTCTTGAGTGGATCGTGCTTAAAGGGTTAAGCCACGGTAGAATTTTCAAAAATTTGAAATTTTTTTTCGCTTAAGTGATACTTTAGGGTCTTAGAAATAAGATACAAAATGTTCCATAGGTAGGAAAAGTTTGTTACAGCTCATTAAAAGGATTATGCCGAGACGCCTCCCAGCGCGCGTAAAGTGCCTTGACCGCATTTGACGCGTCAAACTCTATTATGCTTGTATCTTTAGGAATAATAAAGGGATTGAAGAAAGAAAAAAGAAGAGGAGAACATAAATGTAGAATAAAAAAAGGGGGCAATATATGGTACAGGCATCGCGGACTGAACGTAAATACAAAACTTCTATATTTAAACACTACATGAAACTTTAAACGCATTTTTCTCGAAACCGTGTTTTTCAAATCGGGCGAAAGGATAACTCGATCAAGTCTCTATCGATTCACTTGAAATTTTAACTGCAGCTTTAAAATAATATTTTATACAGAAGTACGTACGGAATTTTAATTTCATTGTAAACTTTTTTATAAACAATTTTTTTGACATTTTTTTGCTCAAAAATTTTTTTATTTGTGCGCCATTTTTGCAAAAAACAAAAGAAATGAAATTTTCCTACGTACTTCTATAAAAAAAAAACATGTTTAGATTTAAAAAATTTTTAGATTTTTGTTCTAGATTAAAAATTCATATGTTAAGTAATTTAATTATTTTAAAATATCTCCAGCATATGAATGACTATACACAGCATAAATAGGAAGCCAGGTAATTGTAAAGATAATAATCACGATAGAATAACATTTATATATGTGCACATAAGTAATTCCATTAAGATAGCAAAGATCTTTATATTTAGAACATACACCAATCAAGAGACGCGGTATTATACATATATATATATATCTCAATTAAAGATAGTCGTAAACCTATATTGGAAAGAGTACATAATACATAATTATTTCTGATATTTCAAATGTAAAAATTATATATAAGAATATAAATGTTTTCCAGCAAGAGACACAGAAGACACAGTGACTAATTACAACTTTATTGTTTACTAATGTTAAACGAAGATAACATGATCACTGTATCACATTGTGCCTTTTTGCTGGAAAGCACAATATAATTTGCTGCCTAAAAAAAAGAGAAAGCTAAATTATACTAATGCACTCAATGTTGTTATTTCCTATTCAGCTGATATTTTTATTGTGTCCTATATATTTTATTGAAATTGCACTTAGTATTAAAAAATTATACAGGATTGTAATTTCATTATGCATACAAAAATATTATCAATTGAATAAAAAATGTTTAAAACTTAAAACTAATATTGAAATTTTAATCATTCTTGTATAAACAGCATAATCGAAATGTTTCGTTACTTCTTCACACATGTATTCCCATTTTGTTACATCATGTTGTATTTGTTTCGCCATATTTAAATTAACTCATTAAAAAAATTTTTAATATATTTTTTACTTTTAATATTTTAGTTTTCACATTTAAAATTCCCTTTTGTATATACAAATGAATTGTTTGGATAAGTTTTTTAAATTATTAGATTCGCTAATATATTTATACAAAAGTGACTAAAATAAATATACGTTAAATGTTCCTTAACATTAAGTATACGAATTACATATAATTATATAACTACGCCCGTCTCAATGAAACACATAAACTCTTCAAAAATCTGAGCGTTTTCCTTCGAAATATACTAGAGCTTTGCATCAGTTAAGGCATGGTACACAAAAAACTTAAGGCAGTAAGACGTAAGCAGTAAGAAAATCAACATTGTAGATTTGCTACTGCTTAAGTTACGTCCGTAGGGGCTCTACTGTGATTGATCAATTCACTTACTGCTTACGTCTTACTGCCTTAAGTTTTTTGTGTCCCATGGCCTTTAATTGCGTATAAACGTTACACTTGGCTACACTGCACTGGAGTAATACATACCATGGCGTGCACTATTTCATTATTGTGTCAAAGTCCTCCCGATTGCAACATCTATTATGCTGTCAATTTCAAATATCACACTGGCTCTATACCATTCCTTTGAGACGGTGTAGCCAAATCCCATTACGCGAACAAAATTTGCACTACACTATAATCAGGGAAACATTTTAATAAGTTCGCCTACTACCAGCCATGGAAACATGCTACACTGTCTGAGTGTTGCACTGGTGGGCGTTAGTGCAACTAAGAAAAAACACTATTAGATTGAAATTCTTTCTCGTTAATATATAATAGCATTTTTGAAGTGCACTGAATTTTAACCAAATTCGTATCGGATCGATGACGTCACAATACTCTACTTTGATTTCTTGATTGAACAAAGTCATCATATTTTCGGGTCAAACATGGATTAACTGATATCTGGATCAAATTCAAACCAACTGTACTGAATGAAAACACTTAATAGATAATATTCACTGTAAGTCTAATTATGATAGGTCAAAAATTTAATGAGTACTTTTACCCACTAAAAAAATTTTTTGTACCCACTAGATCTCAGGAAAATCACAACAAACTGAGCAAATATTGCTCAATTTCCTATGATTGTCTTGGGCGCATGGATACGACTATGTCTCAGCAGCGAACTTTTATCTGTAAATGTCTTCTCACACTCGACGCACTTATACGTTCTACCAGTGTGCGTAACCAAGTGCCTGCTGAGACCCGAAGCGTGACAGAATGCTTTTGGACAAAGTTGGCAATGATGTAACTGAATGTCATTTGGATTTAATTTCTGATGCCGACGCATATGCACCTTTAGTGCTTCTCGCTGCGTAAAGCTCTTATCGCAATGCTGACATTGGAACGGTTTTTGGCCGGAATGCGTCATTAAGTGTCTGAACAAAATTTCTTTCTGAGCGAAAGCACGGTGGCAAATGTTGCAACCAAATGGTTTCTCGCCTGTAACAAAAATAAAGATAACATTAATTGTATTATTGAATCCAAAATAGACTTACAAGCGTCAAATACAATCCTCTGTAGGTTAAATACCCGTGTGAAGCTGGCCCCCCAATATTAAAAAATCGATTTTTTTTCTTCATGCGTTCGTTTGCTCATCGTTTGCTCACAAATGCTCAGTTGGAATTTTCGTTTCCTCACCCTTAGTTCAAAAGATATACGAAAATTATGTTTTGGGGAACCAGCTTCACGGGTTAAATATTCATGTGAAGATTAAATGCTCAATGTTCAGTCTTCACAAAGATCATAGATCGGGTAGACTTGTTACCACAAATGAGCTAGAACAACCAAATATATGGTAGAATAACAATATTATGAAGAGTGATAAAGAGATGGAATAATCATATTATGAAGAGTGGTAAAGAGGAAATGCTTTCTCCTACAAATATTGGAGATCAGTACCAAATGGCCAGTGGCATTTGGTAGATCTCGGGTGCTTTTATATAATTACGTGTGAATTTATATATTATATGTATGATTTTTAATTGCGCGCCGAATTTTTAGACTTGAAACGCAAGCTCTACTAAACTACCGCAGTAATATATCACGAGTTAAATTGACTAACAATTGAACAATTTTTGATGCTCTTTGCGCAACTTAGATCGATTTTAATAACGTTTGATTCAACAATAAAAAACATCCGTAAGAATCGCTAAAGAAGAATCTGTGAGTTCCGAAACATAATATCGTGAGACCGTTTTTTCGCATTGTAAAAAAAAAAACGAGCGAAATTTAATTTAATATAAATAATATACCTGTATGTGTACGTTCGTGTCTCACTAACGCAGACCTAGTTGGAAACCATTTTTCACATGCCTGACATGTAAATCCCCTCTGAGTAGAATGCACCGACTGATGACTCTTCAACATTATTCTCCGTGTAAACGCTTTCGGGCACTTGTCGCATTTAAATACTTTCAGTTCCGGGTTAGCATCAACTGCAATATACATTTGCCATTTATGCAACTGTGGCATTGGGATTTGGTTAAATGGCATGCATCTGAATATATGTATCGTTAGCTGCGACATTTTACGTAATTATATTCTATTACATGTAACTGTCATCTTTTTTCTTTATTACTGATATCTTATGGCGAATTCGATTGGATGCACTAGTGCGCACTAGTGCGCACTGAGTGCACCTGAGTTCATTTGTTTTCCTTTTCTCTTCAGGAGAAGGGAAAGGGAAAAAAGATGAACTGGTGCAATCACCCTGCACTGGTGCATCCCAATCGAATTCGCCATAAGATTAATAAGAACTGACTATGAATACCGGCCCCTAGATATCAGAACCGATGTTCCGCGTCCTGATTGGCGTGACTGTCAACCAATCATGACATTCATTCATTGGTATTAAAAATGGCTGACTAATAAACGATTGGTCGCGTTCAGCGGACTCAACAGTTGAGTGAGTGCTCGCTATTATTGGTGTATTCTTCTAGATTATTCAATCAAATTTTAAATCTAGAAGAATACACCAATAACAAAGAGCGCTC